TTTTGTAAAAAGCTTTGAATTTCAGCATCCACTTCCTTCAGTTTAATATATATATATATATATATATATATATATATATTAATATATTTTATTTAACCAAGAAGTCACAACATTTACAAATATAAAAATACATTATATAAATGCAATACAGTGCAGTGATATTTAGTTTTTTTTTTTTAAAAAACTGTCAAACAAGAACCACATAATTTAAAAATAAGAAACAATACAGTAAAGTAAAACATGTGACTACTCACCTCTGTCAAGCTTGAACAACCAGGCTCTCCATCACTGTGCGGCCATCCTGTGTGATGCTGCAGCGCTCTAGCAGCATGCTTCTCCTCCTGAAAGCAGACTGTTTGATCAGATCACAGGGCTGCACTTAATATGTATGTCCTACTGAATATCTGCTATCTCGCCTTCAATAGGGGAAATTTAATAAGCCTCTGGACACAATCTCTGTTCTCCGCTCTGTCCAAACATCGTCTCCCAGCAACCGCCCAGAAGCTCCAGCTTCATGCAGGTGAAAACGTGTCGCAATAACTTTTTTGTGTGAAAGGTCATGATAGTGACAAAGCGAAGGGCAGCTGTTTTGCGTCAGTTACAGCAGTGGTTCTCAACCTGGGGGTTGGGGCCCTCGCTAGGGGCCGCCAAAGCTTTACGGGGGGGGACGAGAGGCCTTTTTGATTTTAAGGGGTGTAAGAAAGCTTTTAAAATATAAATTTATCCAAACTTTTGAAGACCTGAACACAAACTTTACTCTTTACTAAACGGTCTCGTCCTGCATTAGAAAAGTCAGTTAAAACAACCAAAGAGCTAAAAGAACAATGGATGTCAAGGGAAAAGAAAATACTGAATTTGTAAAAAAACCAAAAAAACAACCCCATTAAAGGACAAGTGTGTGTAGGATTTAGTGGCATCTAGCGGTGAAGTTGCAGGTTGCAACTAACTGAACACCACTCGTGTCTGTATTTAAAGACCTGGGAATGGGAACATGAAATGTGAAGTGTGTAGGAGAAACTACAGTGACTACGAAACTCCCTAGTCCCTGCCTAGAGCCAGCGTTTGGTTTAACTTCAGACCTACTGACCTGCTGCATCTGCAGATATAAACAGCTCAGTCTAAGGTGACAAAAACACAACGATTCTTATATTCAGGTGATTATACACTAATTATAACACACCTGTGAATATTATATTCCATTTCTGTCAATAGATCTTCCTTAATGTTACACACTGGACCTTTAGATGTGTAAGAAACTTATATACATAAAAGGCTGAGCATTTTGTTCATTTCTGTGAAGAAAACTTTAAAGATTTTTAAGACCTGAACACAAGCTGTATTCACAGGGCCTTCAAAGTACGCAGTAAAAATAACCACAGTGCTAACAGAACAATGTCAGGGGGAAGAAAACACTGAATTTGTCAAAAAATAAGTCTATTAAGTCTGTATGATTGTTAAAAAAATAATAATAAATACATAATATGGACAGAAACGTTCCTAAAGATATCAGGAAAAATCTCAAAATTCATCCAAATCACTCATTTTACACAAACTGTACAGTTTATCAGTTGTTCTGTACTGTCATTGTTATGCATTGAATGTAATATGAAATACACATAAAATATGTCACCTAGTCAGAGGTTGTTAGTCCGCTCAATCATAGAAAAAGGTTGGAAACCACTGAGTGACAGCGTCTGACCAGAGAGGAGGGAGGCTTTATCTGTGTGTGGTGCCCAGCAGAGGGCAGAGAACTCAGGTTTGTTCACTACAGGTTCCCACTGAAAAAGATCACAACAATGCTTAAAGAAACATGAAGTGGCTTTAAAGGGGAAGCTGCATTTTCCTTTATTAGTTTTATTCACAGATAAGTTTATAATTAAGTCCTGAAGCCTTCATCACTTGTGAGGGTCCAACACAATCAGATTATGCAGCAAAAATTATGTATTTTAGTAATGCGGTTCTGCATTAAAGATAAAATAAAGAAAATACAATGAGAAAATACTGTTTTACACAATCAAGGAATCTTTAAATTAAATTAAATATTTAATATTTACAAATCAAACCATAAGCCTTAAAAATTAAAGATACTAAACTGAGTCAAATGTGTCCTTCTTGCAAGTTTTAGTAATTTATGGCAGGAAAAAACTTATTTTACATTGATACACTAAAATAACTTAAAATTAACTATAAATTAGCATCAGCAGATACATTAAAAGCTAGAAGTCTGTGGACTCACCTGTTGCCACATCTGGCAGCTGACTGCTGTTGGTGCCAGGCTCTGTCACTGAGGATCAAACTGCCTGAGGGAACCAGGTGGGCTCAGTCACTCAGCTCCACTGTCAGTCAGTCTGTCTGTCAGTCTGTCAGTCTGTCTGTATCTCAATCCTTCCCACCAGCCCCCTTTTTATACCGTCTGTCAGTCAAAACAACGTTTCAACAACAAACCTGGGATTACTCTGCGGCACGCTGCCAAATGATCCCTGGCAGATCTGCACCTCTGGAGGTTGAACATTAAAAACACATTAACACCGGACACAAAATCAGTTAAATAGACTTCATAAACAAGTCTATTTTTTGTACAAAACCTTTTTTAACTTTTGTTTTTTATTGTTTATTTAGCTTTACCTTAGCTACACAGATACCGTGATTGATAAAGCTTTCCACATTGTGTTCTAGGGCGGTGGTCCCCAACCTTTCCTCCTTATAGGAGCCCTTTTATATCTTTTAGTAAACTGATTTCATATTAAAAACTGTACAAATAACCCAAACAGTGAACTCAGTAACTGCAAGAAGTTTGTGTAAAACGAGAGATTTGGATGAATTTTGAGCAGGTTATTTCCTGTTTTGGTTTTGGTTTCTTGTCCCTGGTGTTTGGCCATTG